TCTGGAGGAAGAAAATACACACACACACACACACACACACACACACGATAGCCTGCCTATGAGCCAGAACAGACAGTGGCTCTGCTATACCCTTTATCCTTGGTGCCCATGGGGATCCAGAGCAGTGCCAGCAGGTGAGCCTGTGGCTGGGCCCACAACCATCACTGTGCATGTCTGTGTGTGTGATGGTGATGTTGGATCCCAAGAACAACCTGTGCTCACCTGTGAAGCCTTACAAGGCATGGATGATATCTACTTTCATGTTTGTTTGAAACTTTGGAACCTTTTTTCTTTATAAATATTGAAATTTATAATTTGTGCAATAAATTAGACTTTAAAATTTATTTTCATATTTTCACATGTTACATTTAAGGAAGTGGCTTTTCTCTTTTAAAAAAATCAAGCTCAGATCCTTTGCCAAGTTGCATTTTCTAAGATGGGTTCATTTTTGTCAGCTGCAGTCAAATGGGCATTGTCAGAGATTCTTGGAAGCTTCAGTTACATGATCTTACTTTTGGTCAGATATGAAGCTAACTGCCTGGAGGCTTCTGGGGGTTTCAGCCCCAGAGCTTGGGACAGGGTGCTCAGCTCTCATCCTGTTCTGACTGCAGTTCTAGCATTTTGATTTTATTCTTTCAATCTTGACAGAAAATCCAGCATTGAAAGTGCCAGAAGTAGAGTTTTTAAAAAATATTTATTTTTATTGGAAAGTCAGATACAGCAATCTAGTCAACTGTAACCCCAAGAGGAACAAATGGTCATTACCCTGAAGTCCATCCGTTAAGCTGAACAACTATATCTCAGCTTCCCCAACAATATGTTATCCTAAGAGACATACAACAAATAACCTGGGCACACTTACAAATCTGCAGATATTCACCCTTTTCCTGGTTTCTCTGTCCACATTCCATTATTGCCAGGTCTCACCTCTCCTGGAACTCTCAAAAGTACACGCATTAGACATACAAAGCATCTTAGCATTAACATCTTCACTGTCCTGCCCAAGCAGTGAACAGAGGGTGAGGACTACAGACATACAGGGCCCATGCTTAGGCGTGACCTGTCCTCAGAGTCTGTCCGTGGGAAGCCAGAGAGCAAGCAGGTACTGGAGAGTGCCAGTGATGAGACACACAACCAAGAGAGTGAGCCCTCCCTATCATGAGCCTTTATAGGGGCTTGTGAGGGGGTGGTTCTACAGCCATGCAATACTGCTCCCTCTCAGGTTCCAGGTGGTGAGAGCTGAGCATCACAGCTGGGCAGAAGGGAACACCTAGGTGGTGATGGGGGCTTCCAAGTTTGTGACTCTGAACTAGCTGCCTACCTCACTACAGACCATTAAGTGTTAAAAAGGTTTTAGGAAAATTAAGCTTATAATGAATGAAACTATTAGCAGAACAGAAAATACTCATTTCCTTATAATTAAGATAGGATACCATGCATCTGTAATGACCAGTATTGCCAATATATAACCCTAGACAAGATGTCTTCTCACTTTGTCTCTTATTGTGAATGCATGATCAGGTGTTGGGATGGGATTTATCCCACCGCCTTGAACAGAAGAGTTCTACACGAGATAATGCAAAGGCAAAGGAACTATTGCTAGAGCGCTAAGGTTCAAGACTCATCCAACACAGTGGAGTCTTGACAAGGACCCCGACCATATACTTCACATAATTCATACAGGGTTTTGGCTGCAATTCTAGGAATGGGCCATTGATTCTACAAACAGACATTGGCAAGTTTGTAATTGGTCAGTTTGTATCACTCGTGACCACTCTGTTGGTCAGTCTTTCTTATCCGTGCCCACCCAGCTCTCAGACTCTATCACCATGACCACCTGACGACTTGGGACCTTTCAAGTCTCCTCTGATTCGTTGGCTCTGTTTAGGGTGTGTGGTGGCCCACGTTGGGGAATCGGCTGCCTCAATTCTAGGGACAGAAACTTAGGCTTAGCCTGTCGGAGGCCTGCCAGAGGCCTGTCATGGCTTTAGCTTGGTTCTCCTTACAGCAAGCGAAGCAAGCTCTCATTACCGCAGCCAGAATTAGTGGTTAGCTTAGCCATCAATCAGCATCACTTTAATATCACTTCTCCTATATTCTAATTACCATTACTTATCCAACTCGCTACTAATTGCTATCTCTTAACATTTACATGTGTGCTTAAATCACCTTATTCCTAGTTACCCATTTAATGCTATCCCTAATGTTTTCTTCTAATATGTGCATATTTTTGCCGCTAAGTTGATTTTCTTTATCGCCAGACATTCATTTAACTATTTCTTAATACTACTCCCCAATACTGTTCCTTGTTAATATCATTCTAGTACTATTTATCTATTGCTTAGCACACTATTTTCTTAATTCATGTATCAGCACACTTCAGTACTACTTAGCTCTTATTTTAGTTCCTCAGTCTCACACAGGAAATTAAACAGTCAGGAAATTACATGCATAGTGGTCAAGTTTTAAGAACTATAAATTTATATTAATAATCCTTTTATGTATGGAGGTATTCCAACAGAAACCAAAACCAAAAACGATGAGATAGATACTTAAGCAAGTTACTATGTACTAATACGAAACAGATATGGAACATTAAAATACAGATCAGGGGCCCGGCGCGGTGGCGCAAGTGGTTAAGGTCCTCACCTTGCACGCCCGGGATCCCATATGGGAGCCGGTTCTAATCCCGGCAGCCCCACTTCCCTTCCAGCTCCCTGCCTGTGGCCCGGGAGAGCAGTCGAGGACGGCCCAAAGCTTTGGGACCCTGCACCCGCGTGGGAGACCCAGAAGAGGCTCCTGGCTTCGGATCGGCATAGCATCGGCCGTTGCACTCACTTGGGGAGTGAATCATCGGACGGAAGATCTTCCTCTCTGTCTCTCCTCTCTGTATATCCGCCTTTCCAATTAAAACATAATAATAAAAATAAATCTTTTAAAAAAATACAGATCAGGAAATTAACACTAGTAAGATAAATGAGATTGAAAAGATTAATGTATACACTGTATTTTCAAATGTTTTTCAGTTCTGCATTTTACAAAGCCAGCCAGGCAGCACAGAGGCTGGCGCCACAGTGTGGTGGATGAAGCCGCCCTCAGCAGCCGGGAGAGCGCCTGCATCCTCCTGGGGTCGCCATCTCGGCCCTTCCCTCCGCCAGGCCATCAGCAACCTGCATCCTCCTGGGGCCGCCATCTCAGCCCTCCCTCCGCCAGCCCGTCCGTGGGCGTCACAACGAAGATGGCGGTGGCACTGGGCGAATGCCCGGATGAAGGTGCCGGACCCTGAGGCCAGCAGGGCTCCACCCCCGCCTGGGCTCCCGAGTCCTGAGGAACCCGAGGCTGTCCTCACCCGGCAGCGGGCAGCAGCCTGCGGAGGGCAGAGACGGGACTCGCGGGAGGAGGAAGAGACGTGATGAGTGCAGCTGCAGGGGCGGCCGGAGGCGGGCGGGGAAGTGAAGCAGCCTAGCAAGGGCCGAGGGCGGAGCCGCCGCCTCTCCCAGGCCGGGCGATCCCCGAGGGCCAGGCAGAGGCCGCCTCCCCGCCCTCCCCGCCCTGGCCGCTTCTCCCTCCCTCTCCCCGCGCTTCTCCCAGGCTCTCCCTTCCACTCTCCCCCCTCTCCCCGCCTCTCCCGCCGCACCGGCCTAGCATCACCCGGTGCCGCCTGCCCCCCAGGCCCGCCCGCCCCGCGCAGGTGCACCCCTGCTTGTCGGGTCTGCCTTTGCTGTGCATTTCCCGCAGCAAAGCGAGACAGGAAATCCACCCGCCTGTGGTCGCTGGCCTGTCCGCGCCAGCACTGTCCGTTCTCACAGCGACCCTGAGCGGCCCTGGGAGCACTGGGGCCTCATGTCTCCCAGGCAGCAGCACTGGGGCCTCGTGTCTCCCAGGCAGCAGCACTGGGGCCTCAGGTGTCCCAGGCCGCCTCGGCGCCACAGCGTCTTCCTGGGGCTCTGGGCATCATGTCTCCCAGGCAGCAGCACTGGGGCCTCGTGTCTCCCAGGCAGCAGCACTGGGGCCTCAGGTCTCCCAGGCCGCCCCGGCGCCGCAGCGTCTCCCAGGCAGCAGCACTGGGGCCTCGTGTCTCCCAGGCAGCAGCACTGGGTCCTCATGTCTCCCAGGCAGCAGCACTGGGTCCTCCGGTCTCCCAGGCAGCAGCACTGCGTCCTCGCGTCTTCCAGGCAGCAGCACTGGGGCCTCAGGTCTCCCAGGCCGCCCCGGCGCCGCAGCGTCTTCCTGGGGCTCTGGGCGCAGGGCTCTAGCCAGGACCTGCAGTGCCTAACGCAGGAGCTCTGCATTTGAACATCTTTATTTCAAATATCTAGCAGGCATTTCTCGCAAAAAAAAAAAAGTCAAACGACCTAACGGGAAAGGGCCGATACAAAGGAGAAAGAATCTGCTGCAGGCTCAGTGAAGGTTGGCACACTTTTCGGAGTTCGCGGACAGACAGGGCAGGAGAGCCGCCAGCAGGCGGACTTCTCTGAGCCGACAGCGCCCCCTGCGGCAGGGAGGCTCAAGCTTCAGCGCTGAGGCAAATCTCACTCCCCTCCCGCCCTCACACCCGTGTGATTCTGATTGGCTGCGCCTCCTCTGACGGTCTGCGAACGGTCCAATCACGCGCGCCCAGGAAGCCCTGCAGAAGCACACTGCTTGTTTCCTGGTGCCAACTTCCTGGTTCTGTTGTGGGAGAAGCCCAGGACCGTGCAGCCGTGGCCGCTGGACCTGCTCTCCTCGTGAGAGGCTCCGGGCAGAGAGAAGCCCGGGACAGTGCAGCCCCTGCTGCCCGTGACCGTTCTCTCCTCGCGAGAGGCCCGAGAACTGCTCTGCTCGTGAGAGGCTCCAGGCTCCGCAGCCCTTGCTGCCCGTGACCTGCTCTGCTGCTGAGAGGTCCCGGGCAGAGAGAAGCCCGGGACAGTGCAGTGCTCCCGCCCCGAATCCTGCTCTGCTGTGGACAAGCCGGGGACAGTGCAGCGCTGCCGCCCCGAGACCTGCTCTGCTGTGAGAGGTCCCGGGCAGAGAGAAGCCCGGGACAGTGCAGCCGTCCCGCCCCGATACCTGCTCTGCCGGTGAGAGGCTCCAGGCTCTGCAGCTCCTGCTGCCCGTGACCGTCCTCCAGCTCAGGCGCCCTGGGAAGGATGCCCGACTCCTTAGACGCTGGGAAGTGGTGAGTGTGTGAGAGCGTCTCCTCAGGCCCCAGGGCGGGAGGGGGGCCAGTAGCCAGACCTTGGTGGCCTCACTCTCCATTATTGACCTTGAACCTTCAGGACTCACATTTTTCCAAATCGTGCGGAGGGGAGGGGAGAGTGTCCAGGGACAGTTCCAACTTCATGTTGGGCCGGATTTTCTTTTTTAAAAATTGGTCCTAATTTTGTTGCAAAACAGCGTGTGGAGCCCACAGCTAAGTCCTCAGTGTAGCTCCTCCTAAGGGGCTCACAGTCACCTTGTTCCAATGTCAGACCAGCACAGACCCCAGCAGTTTACCTCACAGCTTTGCTCCAAGGTTGAGGGGCAGCATCGGGTTGGCAGAAGCCTGGGGTGGCATAGAGACCTTGCAGACAAATAACGGGGTGCAGCAGGGACTACCCCAAAGGGGTTTCTATGGAAGAACCGAGGAATAAGCCATTCAGGTACAAGCTGCCTGGCTCGATTTATCCTGATGGCTTTTGATATGGTGCCACCTGTCCCCACTGCTTAAGTTCTCGTAATTGGGAATGAACGTCCCATGAATTTTGGAGGGGGATAAGTCAGGTTCTGCAGAGAGCATTGAGGCAGGGAACAAATCCCTAAATGTCCAGAACTGCTCATAATGCCAAGAGCTGACTTCTGCCCTGAAAAATCACAACACAATCCACTGTTTCCCCAAGATACATTTCATTCAACTTTAGTCATTTATCTTTGTTTTTCCCCCACAAAATAACCATTAGCTATTGTCTCGTCCAGCAGGACAGTCAACAGGGGTTGCAGCCAACCTAGGAGAGAATGGGGGACAAGAGACACAAGAAATGGACAGCAGGACAGTATGTCTGATCAATCTGACCAAATTTTATTTTTCACACACAAGCCTTTGTACTCTGCAAAACAGGACCTATGGGTGAGGAGAAGAGGAAGTAGGGTCCGGGGGCTTTCACAGCTCTTTCTGAGTTGCCATTTCTAAAACTCCCTTATGCTTGCAAGAGAATGCTGGCAGGTATTTCTAAAACCCCCTTATGCTCACAAGAGGATGCTGGCTGGTAGGGCATAAGCCAGCATCCTGTTATGAGCACCAAGGGTAGTCAGAGCAGGGTGGGTTGCTAGGTAATCTGGAAACTGCAGGGTGTCTTAAGACTTGGTTCCTCTTGCATTTGCTAACTGGTATTTTCCACTGACCTAGATCTATATTCAAAATGGCTTCAGTATGGCTATAGTATATGGCTCCCAACAAGCTCTGGAAAAGGACTGTTTTCTGTGACCACTAGGCATAAGAGAAAAGCAGTGGCTGCCCACCTGACACACACAGTAAGCTATCATTGCCCTGTCTGAGTGTGACAGTGCTTAAGATGACATTTGGGACTCACATGGCTTTATCAGAATGTATAGGTTCCAGTTTTGTTCAAATGCAGTGTGAAGTTAATGCACATAGTGGCTTAGGTTTTGAAAATTCTCATTTATTTTCAGTCTTGTTGCTTCAGCCTGGTCCCAGCCTCGCCTGTTGCAGGCATGAGGAAAGTGAGACATTGGATGAAAATGTCTGCCTTTATCTCTGTGCACAATAAATAACATTAGATGAAGCTTAAAGGTCTTGGTACATCTCCCTTTTACCTAACTGAAGTGCAGACACTTTATCAGAATGCTCTCACTTTGTGATTCCCCTTGGAAAATTTGCATGTTTCTTGATAATACCTTTCTCTTTTTGTTTTGCTGAGTTTGAAAAACCTTTGTAACAAACATGACCAACTTATCTTGACTCTCTCATTGCCTCTGAAAGATAGCAGTACAATGATAGAATGCTGCCCTAAAGCTGGAGGGCATCTGTTGTGTTCCCTCTGTTTTATATGGTTAGCCCCAGGCAGTGTTAATACTTTCTTTCCATTCCTTGCTGACATATTGGTATCAACTAATTAGAAGCTGATTACTTAAGGGGCAACGCAGAAATAATTGATGCCTAGGTTCACTTAGCCTTGCCTAAGGAGTGAAACCTTTGCAAAGACCCAGGTAAATCCTAGGACAATGTGGTTGGGATATACAGCAGTTTCATTTTACACCCACAAGTGGATTCAGTCAGAGGCAGTTTGTACCAACAAAGGATTTTTGTTAAAGTGGAATTTTTGTGGCCTGGAGTATTTACAAATTTGTGAATGTATTTGACTGGTTTAATAAAAAGTATCTGTTGTGCTCAATATGTGGTGCAAGGCTCTGAAGAACATGCAGGTTTACTGAGACAAAAGAGTCACCTTGACTCTATGGAACTTGGACCTACCAGACCCTAGATAAGCTAAGGAGATAGCTCTGGGTGGGGTCCATAGATGAATTCTTAAAGGTGACAAAACCCAGAAAGAGCTAACACTTGTTGTCCGCTAATTTTATCCTGCACCTTTGTATTGAGGTTGAGCCTTGACTCCGTGGTCTCTAGTAACACTAGATGATGAAATAATTGACTTGTTTTGTAATTGGTGGTAAGTTGGTATTAAGCAAACATAACACATCTGATAATAATAATAAAAAATCTCAGGCCCCACACAATGGCGCAAGTGGTTAAGGTCCTCGCCTTGCATGCCCAGGATCCCATATGGGTGCTGGTTCTAATCCCTGCAGCCCCACTTCCCATCCAGCTCCCTGCTTGTGGCCTGGGAAAGCAGTCGAGGACAGCCCAAAGCTTTGGGACCCTGCACCCGTGTGGGAGACCCGGAAGAGGTTCCTGGCTTCAGATCAGCATAGCATCGGCCATTGCGCTCACTTGGGGAGTGAATCATCGGATGGAAGATCTTCCTCTCTGTCTCTCCTCTCTTTATATCTGCCTTTCCAATAAAAATAAAATAAATCTTTAAAAATAATAATAATAGTAAAATCTCAGTGGTCACAACCATCACTTGGTTTTGAATGTGTGGTTGCAGCAGAGAGCTAAGATGCTGGACACTCCAGGCTGTGAGGAGCTTCCAGGACCAGATTGTTGCATTTCTGGCTTCTTAGAATTCGGTCAATCAGTGAAGTGAGCCCCCAGGGCACTGTGTCCTCAGAGTGATCCCCAAGGCCTGAGAACTTGGGTAAGTTTCTGAGTGGAACTCCCTGTGAAGTGTAAGGCTGCTTCCTAGAGCTCATTCTCTGTCATGTCCTTGTGCCTTGATTTACAGTTGGATCACTTATGTAGGACTTATTGCCCTGATTTGAATGTTACATCTTCTTTCTTTGCATAGAACCCGAATTTATTCAATAATCCCAGCGAAAGATAAGACAATTCTTGTCAACTTTATTTTCTGCCAAGTTTTCAGTAGGACTGTAAACAATGTAAACCTAATGCCTGGGTGAGGAAAAAAGCATTTTGAGTTCAAGTCTTGGTCTTTCTTACCTGCGTCTGCAGAGGTGACTAAGTCCTGGTTCTATCTGATGTGTTTGATTGCCTAAAATTTATTTCTTCATTAATGTGATGGCACAGCAAATCAAGCTGCTACCTGCATATGGGTGCCAGTTCAAGATCTGACTGCTTCTTACAGTTGCGCTCCTCACTAGTAAATCTGGGAAAGCAGCCTGATGTGTCCCAAGTGCTCGAGTCTCTGCCGCTGGCAGGACACCCAGAAGAAGCTCTAATTTCCTTGCTTTGGCATGGGTCAGCAATTGCTGTCACATATGGAGTGAAACAGCAGATGGAATATTTTTCTCTGCATTTCAAATAAGTAAATACACTTGATTTTAGCCAAAGCCCGAGAAGTGATTCAAATAGGTAAATAACCCTTAAAAATATACATTTATTTATTTTTCAGTAAAAGCTGCAAATTAGAAGAGACAAAGACCATCTATTGAGTGTAGGAGGACATTGTGACCCTACAAGGTCAGCGAACACAGGATTACAATTGATTGGATAATATTTGTTGAGGCCCCCAGGGCGGGAGTGGGGCCAGTAGCCAGACCTTGGTGGCCTCACTCTGCAGTATGTGTGTGAGAACACTTGGTGGAATATACAAGACAAAAGGAGTTCCAAATAAAAGCATAGTAACTGTTGATGGGCTTTGTTGATAAGCTCAATTCTTCCTCCATTATCTCATATGACCCTCAATGTATAAAGTCTGATGCCACTAATAATCCTCAGCTTTGACCATCAGTCAGGGTCCACGTGTGTTATTAGCGTGTTATTATCGGCTCCATGTACCAAGTGCATTGCTGCGGGACAGCGACAATCCAGTGCTTCACTCCCCCAGTGGCCAGAATGACCAGTGCTGGACCAAGCTGAATCCAGGAACCAGTAGTTTCCTCCAGGTGTTCCATGTGGGTTATAGGGGCTCAGGCACTTGGATGATCTGCCACTAATTTTCCCAGCTGATTAACAGAGAGCTGGGTTGGGAATGAAACAGCTGATTCCATATGTGATAGTGGTGTTATAATTGATAGCTTTACATATTATACCACAATGCTGGCCTTGGCTTTTTTTATACTGATGACAATATTTTTCTTGCTTTTTATTTCTCATATGCTGATTCATAGCAAGTGTTTTACATATGGGACAATATTCTCATGTTACAAATCATGATAAATTCTGATGCTGTATAAAGCATTGGTAAGGTAGAAGGATTGGAGTTTCACAGTTTCTTCATGTACATTTATTTATTTTGTGATTCTCTAGGAGTTGATTTGACTTAATATTTTTCATCTAGTATTAACTGAATTCTCTGTGTGATAACTTTGCTAAATAGTAGTTGCCACTAACTTATACTGTGAGCAGGAACTTGTACTGATTCCTCTACATAATATGCTGCTCTGTTTAGAATCACTGGGGAGAAGCCTGTGGTCCTCAAAATTATGTGTGAAAAGCTGCACCAAACATCCATGCCAATTCTTCCCTTCAAATTGTTTTTTTTTTTCTCATAGTTTTAAAAAATATTTATTATTCAGGTATTTTATTTGTAAGTCTTGGAGACAGAGTGATTTGTCATTTTCTAGTTAACTCCTTAAATTCTTGCAAAGTTGTGCCAAGGCCTGGTCAAAAATAGGAGCCAGGAACTCCGTCTGTGTCGATGAGAGCAGTCGCAAAGACTCACTTGTGAAATTCGCTGATTGCTTCCGGGGAGTGCGGTAGCAGCAAGATGGAGTTTGTTGTGGAGTCATGAGACAAACAAAGCAATTCCAGTGCAGAATGAGGGTCTTCGGAGTGTTTTCTCAACCACACCACCAGATTCCCACACCTGATTTTATTTGAGCACCTTATTGGATTTTATTTTCTGTCATTAAGATGTAAAGGATGTGTGCCTCCTAAATTTTTATTTGTATAGTTTATGTAGGTCTGCAATGTTCATTGCCTATAATCTAAACCCAATTTTAAATAACACTGTACTATTCCTTGGGAAGTTCAGGTATGTTATGGTCCCAATTTTTTCACCTATCCTGTATATAATTTCTGTCATTCCTTTTAGTTATTATAAATTGAAACAATGTTGTTCATTGTTGGTGATATCACTTTGAATAAAGATGTATATATTAAATGATATGCGAATAGAGAATGAATGTGCCCTCATTTGATGCCAAACACTTTTTGAATGACCTGACATCTAAATCATGTTGAACTTTTTGCCTGATTAATTTCTGTATTATTTGTTTAAGAGAATGTGAGAGAAAATTAGACTTCCAATTCACTGGTTTGCTTCTTAAGTGTCCACAACTGCCAAGTGTGTCTCAGGGCTTCGGCTGGGAGCTGAGAACCCAGTGCAGGTTCTTCCTGTGGGTAGCACAAACCCAGTGCCTGAGGCCATCACTGCTTCCCCAGGTCTGCTTTAGTAGGAAGCTGGAATCAAGATCAGAACTAGGAATGTGACCCTGGTATTCTAATGTAAGCTAGAAGTTTCTTGACTGCTGGGCTAAACACTCATCTTGTGTGTGTGTGTATGTTTATTACTGTTGTTAACTGAGATACATTAATTAAATTTTGAATACCTTACCTGTAATTTGACATCAGTATAAAAATGAATAAAACAGGGTAAGACAGGTATGGGTATGGTGGAGTGAATCCATCTCACTTGAATGCACCTAATTCAAGTCCTGGCTACTCCACCCACCCTTCCTTCCCTTCCCTTCCCTTCCCTTCCCTTCCCTTCCCTTCCCTTCCCTTCCCTTCCCTTCCCTTCCCTTCCCTTCCTTTCTTCCTTTCTTCCTTTCTTCCTTTCTTCCTTTCTTCCTTTCCTTCCTTCTTTCTTTCTTTCTTTCTTTCTTTTCTTTCTTTCTCTCTTTCTTTCTTTCTTTCTCTCTTTCTTTCTTTCTTCCTTCTCTTCCTTTCCTTCCTTCCTTCCTTCCTTCTTCCTTTCTTCCTTTCTTCCTTTCTCTTTCTTTCTCTTCTTCTTTCTTTCTTCTTTCTTTCCTTCTCTTCTTTCTTTCCTTCTTTCTTTCCTTCTTTCTTTCTTTCTTCTTTCTTTCTTTCTTTCTTCTTCTTCCTTCCTTCTTCTTTCTTCTTTCTTCCTTCCTTCCTTCTTCCTTCCTTCCTTCCTTTCTTTTTCTTTTTTTAAAAAATATTTATTTTTTATTATAAAGGCAGAGATACAGAGAGGGGGAGATACAGGGAGGAAGATCTTCTGTCCAATGGTTCACTCCTGGAGCTGAGCCAATCCGAAGCCAGGAGCCAGAAGCTCTTACAGGTCTCCCACACGGGTGCAGGGTCCCAAAGCTTTGGGCTGTCCTCAACTGCTTTCCCAGGGCACAAGCAGGGAGCTGGATGTGAAGTGGGGCTGCTGGGATTAGAACCGGTGCCCATATGGGATCCCGGAGCGTGCAAGGCGAGGAATTTAACCACTATGTCATCGCTCTGGGCCCTACTCCACCCTTTCAGTCCAGCTTCCTACTAATGCATCTGAGAAGCAGCTGGTGGTGGCATAAGGGCTTGCAAATCTCCCACCCATATATGAGACACAAGAGGAATTGTGGGACTTGGAGTCAGTCTGACACAGCCACAGCTGTGAAAACCATTCAGAAATAAAGCAGTGAATGAAACATCTGTTTTTCTGTCATTCTTCCTTTCAAGTGAATAGAAACATTGTAACTAAAATGTAACTATTTTTCCACCTAAGTTCAAGGTTAGTTTTCCAACAGTGACACTTACAAAATGCCAGGTAATACCTTTGTAAATCAAGTATGGGATGAGCAAGAGGTTCAATGGGAAAAGCAACCCTGATTTTTGATTAGAAGAGTTTGTAACAGATGTGAGGTAACATGTTACATTGCCAGCATGCCATGTAGTGGAATGGACTGGTTATAGTCTTATATTCATTTTCTGATCTAGTTCCCTGCTAATGTGCTTGGAAGAGAGCAGAAAATGTCCCAATTCTTTGGACACCTGCACCCCTGTGGAGGAGCTCAATGGAGTTCCAGGCTCCTGGTTTGGGCCCGCGTCTTGCTGCCTATTGTGGCCACATGGGGAGTGAACAAATCGAGGGAAGCTCTCTCAATCTGTCTGGCTTTGATTCTTGCTCTAATGCTCACATTTAAGCAAATAAATAAATTGTTTTTCAAAAAGGACCTGGAGTGATAGTCTAGTGGCTAAAATCCTTGCCTTGAATGGGATATGGAACTAAATATAAAGAAAAAGAAAAAAAGTGATAAAGACTTAAAAGAGCACTAACCATATTTTATACTCTGTAGATAGGAACTGTTAAATTTCATTTAGATAGTGTGTGAAGGGGTGATTTCTGATTTTTTGAAAATTCTAGTAAATTTTGATCAGCATGTTAATGAATGCTACCATAAGGTACAGTGCAGTATTTGAATATACATGCAGCATGAGCCGAGTAAGCCGGGTAGCCAGGCTTTCCATTCATCTTTACTGTTACGGTGTACCAGGCCTTTCATTCCACTTTCTGAAGTTTGTCAGATTGTGAACTGTAACCGCCACACACTGTGATGGAACACTGGATCTTGTTCCTTCTGTCACATGTTCTTTCGCTACCAGTTCCATCTCCTTCCTATCCCCAGTCCTCATTCTTCACCTGTAATAATCACATCCTAATTTTGCACCCATTATTTTTTGATGTTTGTATGTACAATAATATGCTAGATTTATTTCTGCATTTGCATTATTTTATAATATTCAGTTTTTTTTTAAGATTTACTTATTTTTATTGAAAAGTCGAATTTACAGAGAGAAGGAGAGAAAGATCTTTCATCTACTACTTCAGTCTCCAAGTGGCTACAAGTGCCAGGCTGCGCTGATCCAAAGCCAGCAGCGAGGAACTTCTGATTCTCCCAGGTGGGTGCAGCATCCCAAGGCTGTGGGCTATCCTCAACTGCTTTCTGAGCACACAGGCAAGTAGCTCGATGAGAAGTGGGACAGCTGGGACACGAGCCGATACCTAAGTGGGATCCTGGTGCTTGCAAGGTTAGGACTTCAGACCCTAGGCTACCACGCTGAGCCCTATTACATCTATTGTAATACATCTAATAGTTGATTCTATTTTGCAGCACATAATGATATTTTACTGTTTTTAATGGCTAAATGCCATCTTGGAAATCATTAGGTTTCACTACTAATACATGTAGGGGAACAATACTTAAAAACAAAAAGGATTGAGTATCTGCATTTCTGCTTCCGTGTCTTTGATTTCCTTCCCTTGCCTACCTCCTTTGGGAAAATATTAAATTGCATAACAATGAAATGTCGGCATTTTAATTTTATTGCATATTTTAGAGCTTTTGATTTTTTTGGCATTCAGTTGTATGATGGCTATAGGTTTGTCATCTGTAGATACTTTACTGAGGTATACTTATACCTCAGTTGTGGTATATTGGGGTATATCTGTAAATATTTGTAGATTTGCACAACTTACATATATGTAAGTATTACAAAATACTGAATTTTATTGACAGTTTTCTAAAAGATTATTTCAATTATGCTTATCTTCCATCCTGCTTATGTGAAATATTTGGCTTGTTGATTTTCATTTATTGGCCCATTTTCTACATCCTGAAGTTAGATGCACCTTAATTATTATGTGTGAGTTTATTGGTGTGTAATTGGATTCTTTTTATGTATATTATGTTAATAATTTTACCTCTATTTTTATCAGGCATACTTTATGATTTTTTTTAGCTATTCTAGGATATGAAAAGTTATTTCAGAAGAAACATTAAGAAGTAATTACATTATATCTTTCAATTTAAAATTGAATTTTAAATCTCCCAGCAGGTGATTCAGTCTAGTTTTGGAATCTAAGTATTGTTAGGTGCAGAATAAATTTGGGACTTTTTTTTCCTTTCATATTTTTATATTAGTTCTGGAATCTTTGGTGTTAGTTTGATAGAATTTAGTAGTGAAGACATCTGCTATTGACCTTTTGTTTGCAGTTTTTATTCCTGATTCAATGTTGTTACTTACTCTTGATTGTATCAGGTTTTTTTTTTCTTTAAAGATTTCTTTATTTTTATTGAAAAACAAAATTTATAGAGAGGAGGAGAGACAGAAAGATCATCTATCCAATGATCCCCAATGGCCAGAGCTAGCCCACAGAAGCCAGGAGCCAGGAGCATCTTTTGGGTCTCCACGTGGATGCAGGGTTCTGAGTCTTTGGGCTGTCTTCAGCTGCTTTCCCAGGCCACAAGGAGGGAGCCGGTTGGGAAGAGGAGCAACTGGGATTTGAATTGGTGCCCATATGGAATCCCAGTGCATTCAAGGTGAGGACTTTAGCCACTAGGCTACTGCACTGCCCCCTTGTCAGATTTTTAATGTCTTTGTGATTCTGTTTGGTAGGCTCCAGAATTCAACCATTTCTAACAGCTTGTTTGTTTATAATTTCTGTTAGCAGTCCCTAGTGACCCCTTGCATTTCTCTCAAATAAATCTTTTAAAAAATTGTTCATTTTTATTAGAAAGGCATATATACAGAGAGAAGGAGATGCAGAAATATATTCCATCCACTGGTTCACTCCCCAAGTAGCCACAGTGGCTGGAGTTGAGCCGATCCAAAGCCAGGAGCCAGGATCATCTTCTAGGTCTTCCATGCAGATTCAGGGTTCCAAGGCTTTGGGTCATCCTATACTGCTTTCTCAGGGCACAAGCAGGGAGCTTGGAAGAAAAGTGGAGCAGCTGGGATAGAACTGGCATCTATATGGGATCCTGGTGTGTGCAAGGAGAGGACTTCAGACACTAGGCTACCACACCAGGCCCAGTGATTGAAAATTTAAGAGCAATACGGTGATAAGCTTGGTTCCCCCTGAGGTCTCTTCTCTTTGGCTAACTCACAGCCTCAGTCTTTTTCTACCTCACGTGGTGTTTACTCTATCCATGTGCAACCTTTTCTAAAGGAACCTGAGTCAGTTTTAAAAAGGGCTTCACAGTTTTTATATTATTTTCTGGTGGCAGCCTTCTTAAAACTGCTGTCTCAAAGTAGGGTCACATTGGTGGTCTACCCTTCATGATTTAAAATTTAGGGGAACACATTTATGTCCATAGTAGTTAGACAGGAACCAGTGAACTGCTCTAAAGAAAGCCATCTCTGAAGTGGGTTAGTGTTATGATTATTCTTGACTTCATTGTTGAAAACATAGGCGCAGAGTAGAGTGCGGGGTAATGGTTAACTAAGTTTATACAGTGTCAGGCTCACCCACAGAGGTTCAGAGCACCAGCCACTTATGAGCCTTACTGTGGGGAGTACAGGGTTAGGCAACATCCCAAGGGATTATAAAACATCCAACTCTGATGTCCAGTCTTCCAAAACTCTAGTCCCATGCAAGGCTCTTGCATGTGAATGGGGGCAGGGGAGTCTTCTGCTGTATGGCTCTCTGGAATGTCTGCCAGGCATCCACACCAGCACGTACTTAAATCAATCGCACTGGAAAGTAACACTTGAGACTAAATGAAACATGGAATGATGCATTTCCAAAAAGAGAAACCTAATACCATTGTAACACAGTATTAGCTAATGCTGCTTATTTTCCTACATTATCTACTAAACTGACCCAATGATAAATCAATGAAGGTTTTCTGCTGTTTGACAAGTAACTATTATACTAAGACCTTCAAACTTATCATAGGTGTGTTTGTCAACACATGCAATGATATTGCCAGTTTAGTGAACTAGGGGTGATATTTACAAGACTAAAAAGAATTGGGCCAGTGTGGTAGCCTAGTCGCTAAAGTCCTTGAACATGCCAGGATCCCATGTGGATGCCAGTTCTAATCCTGGTGGCTCCACTTTCCATCCAGCTCCCTGCTTGAGGCCTGGGAAAGCAGTCAAGGATGGCCCAAGGCCTTGGGGCCCTGCACCTGTGTGGGAGACCTGGAGGAACCCCCTGGATCCTGGCTTTGGATCAGTGCAATTCCAGCCATTGTGGCCAATTGGGGAGTGAATCATTGGATAGAAGATCTTCCTCTTTGTTTCTCCTCCTCCCTGTATATCTGACTTTGCAAAAAAAAAAAATAATAAATCTTTTAAAAAAAGATTAATATGACAATTTATATTGTAATTATTAGATTAAAAATTATATTCTTAATATTTTCAAAGCTTGGCCTGACTCAAGCAAAAGAAAACGTCACAAGGGACCCATCCTGCTCATCTCTCCCAGAGGAGCCCTGCCCTCCTTATCTGCATGCCTCAAAGGGCTCTTCTGAGTTTAGATGCCCCGAACATGCAACCTTGTATGATAACCAGCTTCTGCCACAGCAGCTTGGATGATCCAGACCATCTCTGTGGCTCCCACACACAGATTATGTGGGTCATTAATTGGAGACATATCATTGAATTTAATTTTCTTTTATCTAATATGTTCTACTTGCGGCATTTAGAGACATGTAAATTTGGAGAATAGGCAAGCACACATGAGAGAGTGGAAAGGACAGCGAGACCCTCTATCACCAGGTCACTCCCACCATGGACCCAGTGTCTCCAGGTCGAAGCTTGGTCAGGTCCAATCCAGGAGCAAGAAATCCCCATTGGGGCTCTCATGTAGGTATCAGGGGTTCAATCTCGAATATCTGTCACTGCCATTTCAGGGGTCTCATCGGGAAGTTGATCAGAAGCAGAGTGGCTGGTGTAGAAACTGGTGCTCTGTTAACAGGATGACAGCATTATAAGTGGTGGCTCAACCTGCTTTGTCTCTATGACACCCCTGATAAAAATATTTTAAAGAAAGATTCTCACAAAGATTCTCAAAGTGGCATAAAAGAGAGATAGCAAATAGAGACATATTTGAAGAAAATTCAGTATTCAATAAAGGCAGCAAGACTCAATGTTATTTGAACTTACCCCATCATGACCAGGTCAAAGGAAACCTGTAGTCTCGGTAATTGCAAGTGAGACCACAGGACTCCCCCTGCTGCTGACTGCCAGCAGAAGGTGACATCACTGCTTTTTCTGTCCTCAGTTCCCTGCGGCCAGAACCACGCTCTGGCTGAGTGGAGTGGAGGTTGGGCCCGGGGCCTGCAGGGGTGGTGAGGCTGTATATGAGCGTGAGGACACGTGGATCCCACCTTGTCCGTCTGCAGTTCTGCTGTGGGTGACTGTATGGAAGCAGCACATTTGCAGTGACTTTGCATGGAAGTATTAAAGGCATTAGGAAGAAGTCCACAGAGGACTGGGCTTTTTTTTTTTAATAAACATTATTTTAAAATTTGTTTGTATTTGAAAGCATTATGGGAAAAGAAACAAAGATGGAGAGGGATCTGCCATCTGCTGGTTCATTCACAAATGTCCTCATTAGCTGAAGGAGGGCTGGCCCTAGTTAGGACTGTGGAGCTTCTCCTGGTTCTCCCACATGGGTAGAGGGGCCTGAGGACTTAGACCATTCTTTACTGCTTTCCCAAGCTATTAGGGGCATGGATTGTAAGTGGAGCAGCTGGGACTCGAGCCGGCACCCATATCGGATGCCAGCACTGCAGGTGTTTAGCTACTGACCGCTGGTCCTGTCTTTTTGTATGTTTTTGTTGTAGAGGCAAGGACAAAGAGCATGGAGAGCGAGTACTCATAAGCTGGTTCACTACTCAAATTCTTGTAACATAATGGACTAAGTTACTCCTGGCAGCTAATGAGGCAAGTGTGGTAACACAGCAGGTTAGCAAGTGATTTAGATACCAGTATTTTGTTTAAAGAGTGCCAGATCAGGATTTGGCTACTTCTAATTAGCAGCTTCTTGCTGATGTTTCTGGATAGATAGCAAAAGCCTACTTGAGT